TTTTTTTTTATGTTTTATGTTTTATGTTTTATTAGCCTGATGCGGTTTGTTTGCTAGCCTTAGCTACATGCTATAGGAACAGACTCAACAAAGTATTCTGCTTACTGTTCAGTTGACTGAGGTTTCACGTCTTGTCAACAAACACAAACCGAGAACACGGATCAGTGTGCAGTCTTTTTTTAGTCTGCTGTTGTAGAAGTGACTGTAAGATTCACAGCCACTTACTGTCAGTATGTTGTACAGACTAAACAAACAAGATTTTGTGTTAGTAAGCTGTACAGCTGCTGATTTTGTTTCCTTCGGTCAAAGCCAGACTGTTCCCTTTTCAGTCTATGTGTTAATTGAACTGGCTGTTGATTGATCGTCAAACTCTTGTCAAGAAAGCTAATAAGTGCTAATAAGCTAATAAGGTCTTGAGGTCAAACTGGTTTTCACACAAACACACAAACACATGCTTTCTGTTTCACCGTCTCCTCTTTTTGTCATTTGATTATTGAAATCTGTCGCTGTTCGCAGAATGGTTCACACATGTAGCAAATGGTCATATGATTTGTGACCTTTATGAAAAAAAGAGAAGTAGCAAAGAGAAAGTCCTGCCTGCAGCATCACAAGGGATTGCAAAATAGGAAGCACAGAGCTGGCCACTAAACCAATCTCCATGTCAGGGGATTAACATCAGCTTTATCTGCAAATACCGGCTGTTACAATAAAGATGAAGCACAGGAGAAATGCTGTCTCATACTTTTTCTAGGCAATGTAATGGACTAAAAGGAATGACATTGCTCTCAGTAAATGGCATGATCGCCTCTTCAAAGGCACTAAGTGGCACCAGTTGAGAAATACAGTCATTTGTGTTATTCATTGACTCCCACGTTTCTCACAAAACAATTAATAAAACCATAAAGCAGTTTTTGACTCGCTATTGTCTTCCAAGATGATGAATCCCCGGGTGGGTTTTGAGTTGTTTTGTTTGAAAATGAGATTTCTGTTTGGACTGATTTGGCTCTGGTAATGAATCAGTGTGTCAAAGTTTCATTCCTTCACACTCACATGGAGCCTACGAGAAACCATGTGCTCACTTGTTGACACTTATGGTCACATACAAGCTGCCTGGCGTTAATGAGGCCGTGGCGTATTACAGGTTAACAAAAGATGAAGCCCTGCAGGTGCAAATGTAGGCACACGTATCTATTTCGTCGTCATATTTCCACTGATGGACACAAAACCACAGCAAACCTAGTCTATAAGGAAGTGGAAGGTGTCTGGCTGGGGGCCGCCGTGACGCTGCTTCCTGTTCCCATGACTGAGTTACAATTTCCAGCAGAGTTCATAAAAGAGGCCGTCGCTCCGCACTTTGGCTCAGACCGCCTACTGTTTCTGCTTGGCCTGTTTGAGTCTCTCTGTGGATTAGTAACTCGTACCATGCTGTTATTTTGCCCACAGCTCGCCTGAGGTGAAAGAACGCTGGTTAGATACACTTCACAGGTAAGAAACATTATTCTCAGATTAAACATTTAATCATGTACATGTTATCAATAAATGGCCATAAATATCCTTTCAAGTCTCATAGTTGATAATAGTTTGACAGCACTGTATATGATCACTGTTGATGATATCGTGCCGCATGGAGTACATAATTATCAGCTTCAATAGGTATCAGTTTCAGTTGAATTTAGAAAAAATATGCTTTAATAATGAATGTTTAAGATAACATGGTGTGCATAACAGCAGGATAAGATCTTTAAATAATGGAGAGCCGTGTTAACAGTCTCACTATTACTCTAAAAACGTGCATCATTGCATTATATTGATCCACTGTTAGGTTGATACACAAAAACTTGAATTTGAATTCTAAGACAGAGGGTGCAAAGAGTATATTTATGAGTAAATGCTTTATATGTATCTTTTTCACATCACAGAAAAATTAAAGACGCAAAAGCGAGGGTTGGTTGTGCTTCTTCACCTCCAGACGTCCTCATGAAGGTGTTGAGTGGCAGCATCACAGTAAGTCTTTCACTGCCCACTGGCATGTCCAATATAAACATATATATATATATATATATATATATATAAACATATATATATATAAACAATGCTTTT